ATTAACCATGACAGCCACACTTTCCTGGGAAAATACACTTGGCCAAAAGTATTTTTTCCTTTTTTCCCCTGAAAATAAAGATGTGGCCCAATATGCAGGCCCTGGACAGTTATATTTAAAGCAAAGGCAAGGCATCTTTTTAAAAGAATAGCTAAAATTTCTTCACTGAAGTGTGTTAGGAATGCCAAACTGAAACAAAAGGAATCAGAAAAAAGGGCTTTGGATTAATAACTAGGTTGAATTACTTAATATTAAGAACAACAGAACAAGGGGATAACAATTTTCAAGTGACACAATGTTTTGAACATGACAGTTGCATTGTGCTTTAACATTTCATGATCCAAAGTTTACTATAACTTAACTGAAGAACTCTTAGGCTATACTTACAAAGACCAAGCATCATGCAAGGTTGGCCAGGGTCAGAGTATTTTGTGGAGACACTGGCAGAATATTAGTATTTGGAAGGATATCTTCTAGAAGATGGGCAAGTGATAGGGAATGCTGGGTGACGAACTCACATAGAACACCCTGCAAACCAAGTCTGGAGCAGATGTGTTTTAATGAAAATGGTTCAGCCTGGGACATGCTTTCCCAGTTAGGAGCAATCTGGAAGGCTGGATTTGGGGCTCTGAGTGTGCATGCTTAGTCACGTTCGACTGCAGCCTCATGGACGGTAGCCACCAGGCTCCCCTGTCCATGGAATTTTCCAGGCAAGAACACTGGAGTGGCTATTCCCAGGCAAAATGAGCTCCTCAGGGCTTCTCTTCCTTGCCTCTCCATCATACTTAATGTTTTCTCGGTGCTTTCTGGACAACCCTGCTGCTCAGTCTTAATGACTGAGTAATGACAAAGTAATGACTTCCCTGTCCCTGTGGGTTCAAGCAAATGGTGGGCGGCTTGCACACCAGGGAAGCCACCCAGGGACTCCATGCATTAGATGGCTGATGGGCAAAATGAATTTTGAGGTCCCCTCCAATCCTGATTTAGAGACAGTTTATGAGTATTTGACTTGAGGAGTAGTTAATGAAAGGGCAGAAGGATCTCTAGATGTTGTCATTCTCTAAAACATATCAGGGATTTGTTGCTCTTAAAACACTACTGAGGACTTCCCTGGTGGTTCCAGTGGTTAAGAATCTACCTGTCAATGCAGGGGATATGGGTTCAATCCCTGGTCCAGAAAGATTCCCAATGCCATGGGGCAACTAAGCCCATGTGCAGAACCTGTGCTCTGCAACAAGAAAATCCACTGCAACAAGAAGCCTTTTGCACCGCAACTAGAGTAGCTCCCACTCACTGCGACTGGAGAAAGCCCACGCACCACAATGAAGACCCAGCACAGCCAAAAATATGAATAAATAAATAAATAAATTTTAAAATAACAATAAACCACTACTGATCATTAAAGCTGGTACTACTAAATTCTGGAACTGAGAAATGTGAATAAATTTTTCTTGTCTCCATAAATCTTAACCTACAAATAAATGTATAAATATAATACACATACACTGCCAAGTAACTATGCTCAATTTATGTTATGACTTGGTAGTTTCATATTAGGTAGATAATGTTTATATACAAGTCAAACTTGGGCTGACATATAGCATTTTGAAACTGGAAACTCAATTCTGTACGTTCTCTGGTCCAGCTCCTTTCTATACTGTCATCTCAGTGAACTGTTTACACGCTGGCTACTCCCATTCCAAAGCAAAGCCTACTTTTGCAAAAAACATTTTATAAGCAATCCATCCACACACCAGTATAAATTGTTACAGGTACAAGTAGAGAGTTATAAAACAGTTGTTAATATTCCCTACCCTATAACTATGGCCAAAAAATACTTCTAAAATAGGCTAAAAGCTACTGGCAGCTGTTTCTAAGACAGAAATATCAGAGGTTGTTGCTAGTTTTATATTGGAACTGATACAATCTATTAGGGAAATAGCTTTTTGAATTGGGAAAACTCATATCCTCCTTTCAAGGTCAAGGTCCAAGTCTTAAAATACCTTGTGTTCTCAGCAACTTAGTACTGTTCCCAAACAGAAATGATGAAATATGTAATAAAGCAGCTAAATTAGCACTCCCATCCAGAGTATGCACCAGGTAAATCAGTACATAAAAGTCCTTAGTAGTAAAGTCTGGCTCTACTTCAAATAAATTTGATTTATTCTAAAATGAAAAAGAAATCACCAAACTTTCATGCACTTTACTTCTTGTTTATTACTAAATCATAACAAATTTCTTGAGCTCAGTTCAGGAAAGACACTGTAACAATTCCTCCCAAGGATAAAACCTCAGAAACAAAAAAGCTGCCAAGACTCCTTCCTCCTGTGAGAAATTATGACAGAAGAGAAAAAAGCTGCACATTATGGATGTAAGGACCAAGCCATGATAAATCTGCCTAAATCAGAAGAGAACCAGACCTAGTAGATGCTGTGTTTCCAAGGTCAGGTTGACCCTGGATTGCCCCTGGTCCCTCAGGGAGCCTGCACACATTATTCGGTAGCCTTGCTGGCTGCACAGGTGTGTTACTGGGAGAAAATACTGAACATTCACATATATGTTCAAAGTGATGGGAAAGAAATGTCATATGAGGAAAGAAAAAACTCATATACTGCAAATAACACCGTCTTCTCTATGCCTCCCTAACAGGGAGCTTAAGATAAATTTTTGGGTGTAATCACAGTGACTGTCCTAACTTCTTAAACGGGTATGTCTATAATCTTTTCTTCTTAATTCTATTTCCTGTTCTAATTTTCATTTCATACACACACACAATACACAGTATGTAAAAACAAATTTTTTTTTGGTGTGAGAGGGTTTGATGTTTTAAGAACATTTTATAAAGAGGAAGTACATTCAACTAAATCAATATATAATTTAGATGTGTTAAAGCATTTATATTCAAACTATATTAGGGCAAGCAATCCATTTTGGAGTTTAAGATTATACATAATGTGGATTCTACTTTTAGTACATAATTTTCATACTTTATTTGAATACAGGGTATTTACTTTGAACATTAATATCTTACAAGAAAGCTGAATCCCCTTAACTAAATATTAGATTCAAGATGGTTTGTTATTAATATATTCCTAAGTGTGACTGAATAAGAGCTGACAGAATCTAAAGCTCTGATTTTACAGTGGAAGCCATTGGGGAATGGGTTTAATTTTGAAAACAATGTTGTTAAATTTTAAGTTAACTATTTCAAGCATGAAAAACAGCAAAGCAAGTGTAAAACAAACACCCAGATGTCTACTACCCCTAGTTTTGTTAAATGAAATTGAATTCTGAACAATATGGGTTTGGAATGGGTCCACTAATAATGTGACTTTTTTTTCAATGCTAAACACTACAGTACTGCACAACTGGTGTTTGGTCAAATCCATGGATGTAGAACTGTAGATATGGAGGAACTATATATGTGGAGGGCTGACTGTAAGTTATACACAGAGTTTTGACTGCACAGGGGATCAGTGTCTCCAAACCCCTGGTTATCCAAGGATCAGCTGCATTAACATTTTGTCTTATTTGTTTTAGAATTCTCTTTCTTTTTAAAGAAATGGAGCTGGATTTTACGCCCCAATTCCTTTTTCTCCACCTGAACCCTGTAGATGTAACCAACTATCCTGAATCTTTTATCATTTCAATAAAAAATTTTACCTTTCTTGTGTGTCTCTACCAAAAAATAAATTATAGCCTCAACCTGCATACTTTAACACTTATACTATAGTATCATACTGGTTTATCATTCTGCAAACATTTGTAGAGATTTATCTGTTGCTATAGATAGTGCTAATGCACTTACTTTAACCCTTCTATGTAGTTTCACGGTGTGGATGTACCGCCATTTATTTAACCACTTCTCTACCAATGAATACTCAGTATTTCCCCCTAATATTTTATTATAAATAACGCTGTCATTTATTCACCCTCCTGCAGAATGGTTTTTTCAGCTTGACCTCAAGACAACCAGTGTTTCTCTGGGTTGCTCAAGCCCTGGCCATGAAATATTTCTCTCACTGCTCCCTCTTCTCCACTGCCCACTACCAATGAATAGTACAAGCTATTATATCTAGACTCCTACCTTCCTCACAGCCCTCTCAGGTGCCAGGCTCCTCCACTTTAAATCAATCCCCCACCCAGTTGCCTGCTGGAAGAACGCATTTAAAAGTCCAAACTAGCCATGCCATACCCCACAATCCCTCCCACTGCATGGGGAACACAAGTTCCCGAAACCAGGCCTGTGTTTCTCTCTGGTCTTGTCTTCTTGCAGAATCCCCCTTCTGCTGATAGCTCTGCCCCTAGATCCCATGCTGTCTCTGAGCCTCTGGCCTGCGACTGGAAATATATCCCCTCTGTACCCAGCCAATGCCTCCTGAACCTTTAGGCTGCCTTTGGTTTCACACTGACCAGAGAACTTTCCCACCCATCAGTTGTGCTCGCAGTGCAACCTCCACTGAGTTTGGCACTTGCACTGCTCACTGACATTCACAGCAGATCACTTGTGCTCCACTGGAATCCAAGTGCTACATGAGGGCAGGGACTTTTATTCATTTTACATCTCCAATTACCTGGAGAAGTGTCTGAGATACTAACAGGCATTCAGACACTGGCTGAACTGAAGGGGCAGGTAGCCAATCCATTAAGTACAGTTTATTTTCATAACAAAGGAAACCAAATCTATTTAAAATGAGTAATTACTGTGGAGTATGTAATGAAAAATAATGTATTCAACCCTTTGTGAACAAGACATCTGTTAGCTGATGCTTGCTCACTAAGGAGTACAATGCATGAGACCAGAAGAGATGACTGTAGCACTGCGAGTGCCTCCTGAGTCATCGGAATAACTTGGGCAAGCCATCGTCACACAGTTGTGAGCACTGTGTCATCATCTCCCACCCAGACCTCCTCAAGTCCTTCACAATGCCACCACACACGGGCAGAGTCTAGATGGTTTTCTATATCTCCTCCAAGACAAGATCACGTTTTGTACCCACCTGTGACCAGCTCCCTTACTTCTGCATCAATAGATTTTCTCAACAGTCGCAACAGGGCAGGTATTCCGCCAACATTCTTCATTGCTATTTTATTTTCATCTGTAGACTTGCCAAAAACAAGGTTTCGGAGGGCACCACAAGCATTCTTCTGAACTTCCAAAACTCTGTGGTCCAAAAGGTCAACCAGATGCTTGATTCCCCCTAACCTACACACCTAGAATGAAAAATATTAAGTACCAGGCCTAAGTGACATGTGGTCAATCAGAGGTCAAACAAAAGACTATTATGGAAAGATCATGGAAAACAGAATAACTTCAGATCATTTCAAAAGGGTACTTTTTATTCTAAGAAAACATGCTTTATAAATTTTGAGGACACTCTTGCTCTTTTCACAGGTTCATGGCTTAAAGGAAGGGAGACCCTGGGTGGATTAAGGGCCACATGCAGGCAGCACAGTCACACATCAGCCTCTGAACGTACACAGGGATCACACTGTTTCTGAGTGAAATGCACAGATACACAAGCACAATAAAGCTATGCGGGGTTGAAGAAAACACAGGAGGGGAGTTCTGACTGAAGTTATTGGCTTTCTAGAATTGTGTCTCTGGGTGACTCTCCTCTTCTAAATTTTCTTCCATTTGTCACTTCATTAGTATATCATATGACTATTTTGGGGCTTTATCTACAGCATCCACCTTTAGGTCTGTAACTGTGTGTTCTAAATTTTAAGGGATGAAAAAAACAAACCCTGCATGATACTGCAGGGGGAAAAATGGCTTAAAATGTGAAATCCAGCCAAAACCAGTGACTCACTATTTTCAATAAAAGCCCCAAATGCTTAAAATCTGAAATAAAATATTCATATATGTTCAGAATTAGTAATGGCTATAAATCCTTTACTTAATTATGTGTTGGCACCAATCTTGACCAGATCTCATAAAATACGTGAGCTCACAAGTACACATTATAATTTGTATCTAATAGAGTTACAGAAAATACTTTTAAAACTGCAGGTTAAATTGATTTTGCTTCATGTTTTATAAATAAGGTAATGAGTGGACACATGATTTGAAAAAGCTAAATGTATTTCCAGAAATATCCTCATTGCAGCTTTTCCCAAGAAATATTGAAATGCATAGTTGAGAAGTAAAAGAGTAACTGGTATCAAAACATCTTTTTGAAAAGGCCTCTAGATGCACTGGACCACTTCTCAAGCACGCAAGCATGCAGCTGCTAAGGAGAAAGGTACTGCTCCGCCCTCCTGTTCCCCGCCTGCTGCCTCGGGCATCCCAGGCGCTGCTCCTCTACCTCCATCTTCACTTTGTTGTCACCAAAGCACAGGTGCTGCAGGTAGGCCGCTGCGTTGGCCTGAACTGACGGGAACTGGTGCTGCAGCATGTGAATGACTTCAGGCAACTCAGGATCACGCCAAGCAAACTCCCTGCAAGAGAAAAACATGGCTTCAGAAAGGAAGGCCCGGGGTCCATCACAGACTGAACGAAACATCTGTCAAAAGAAAAGAGTGGAGACCACAATAGGACGCTACAAAAATCCTAAAAAATAAATAAATTTTAAAAATATACAGAAATAATATTTTTCCACTGATGAACATATCACAGATACTTATGATCTTAAAGAAATCATGGTGCACAGAAAGATTCAGGGGCACAAAGGAGGTTCTTAATATGAGTTACTTTTCCATTGTTGTTTTCCTTCTGATTCTAATTTTATGCCTTTCTGCCTCTGCAAGAAATTTGCAGGTGCGAGTACAAGTGCACTTCAGCTGGGTGAGAAGATGTCACGTCTGGGGAGGGAGGAAGTAGGCTAGTGGAAATACTGCATGCCTGCTGGTTTATAAGAAATTTAATATATATTGTTGCTCTTGATTATAATAAATATAAAACATGATAAAACATTTTTTCCCAGCAATCCTATATCCAGAGAAAACCACTGTTTATGTTTCCTGTTGGTCTTTTTTCAACATACCAAGTGTGCACATGTGTGGGTAGAGAATTTTTAAAAACTGTATTAAGTAGCATGTAATATTTCCTGAGCACCTATTCTGTTCCAGGCACTATTCTAGGCATTTTATGTATGTTAATGCATTTATACTTAAATCAGTCTTTCAGATTTGGAGGCTGAAGCAGAAGAGCTAAGCAATTTGCCTAAAGACACCTAGGTAGTCAACAGCCGAGCAACATTTGAACCCAGGCATCAGCTTTCAGGTGGGCTTTCCTGATGGCTCAGTGGTAAAGAATCTGCCTGCAGTGCAGGAGATGTGAGTTCAATCCCTGGGTTGGGAAGATCCCCTGGAGAAACAAATGGCAACCCACTCCAGCATTCTTGCCCGGAGAATCCCATGGCAGTCCACGGGGTCGCGAAGAGTCAGACAGGACAGAGCACGCAAGCGATCAGCTTTCAGAGTCTGTGCCCTCACCCCTGTACTGGCCCCTCCTTGGATAAGGAGTATACAATCATACTAAATATACATACACATTTTCATACCATTTTTTAAAAAGATAATACCACATTGTCAGAATTTTCTGATGCCATTTAAATGGATGTTTGGTATCCTTGTTAAATGTGATTTTATGCTTATGTTGCATAAAGATAAGTTTCTTACAAATGGTTCACAAAGAAACACATTTGCAGCCTTTGATAACAGGATGGAGTAAACTGTTATAAACTGGTTCATCCACTTCAAAGGGGCAGGTCATTTCATACCTGCACACACACATTCATACCACCCATCAGTGAATTTCTGCTACAGCTGCCACAGTAGGTGCTGGAGATAGAAACACTGAGTAAGACATGCTTTTATGTACAGGGTCACGTACGCCAAACTAAAAAAGCTTAGTCTTAAAACTCTAACAGGAACTGTTACTGAGTTTATCTATGTCAGGTATTATGTCTAGAGCTTTACAGACATTATCTCACTTACCTTGACTGTTGCCCCGTGAGGTAGGCACTATCAAATAACATTAGATATAGATAAGACAAGGAACCTGGGATTAGTAATTAAGAGGTGGAGTTCAGTGGTTCATGTGTTGTTCTCCCACACGGGAAAAGTAAGCTGGTGGAGGTTTTAAAGCAGAAGAGTGAGAGAACGCAATATGGTCACATTTATAAGGAAGATAACTCTGGTGGCCAAGTAGAGAATATACTAGAATCAGGAAAAACTGGTGGCAAGGAGACTATCCACCATACCCACATTTGCCCAAAATAAAATAGGACCATCCTTGATTTTTCTCTTCCCTTTATCTTTCTCATCCAATCCACCTGCAAACTCTGCTAACTATCTCCAAAATATTTAATATAAATCCAACCCATCTACTCTTTCCACCTTGGCTGAACCAATTACATGCCACCTGGGCTCACTGTCCTTCAAATAGCACCCCTCCCCTGTCTATTCTTTGCACAGCAGCCAGATGATCTTACTGAAAACTGAAGTCAAGGATGGGATGGACGTTTCCAGTTTGGGGGACAGACGGACACTAAGAAAACCACAAATACCAAGGGAGGGAGGATAACGCAACAGAAAAGCACAGAATTTGGAGCTAGACTGCTATGTTTAAGTTCAAGGTCCTGAGATTAGGATGTGATTTTGAAAACCATTTATTTAGAACTCCAGTTTTCCCATCTGTAAAATAGGAGCAATAAAACTATCATTTCTGACTTCTTCTTAGGTTGGTTGTGATGATTAAATTGTGGTTATTTATATTAAAGTATCTTACATACTTAGAATTAGGACATACATTTTACTAAGATTCATCAGCCCTGAAAAATGAACTATATACTAAGTAGGGGCAGTCTCCATAAAAAGCAGATTTTCATTTATACATTGAAACTATTGAAACTATGTTAACTATTTCTGATGAAAATCTGTCTACAGCCTACTATATAAATCTACAAGGTAATTAGCAGAGTGCAAGGAGTGTGATTTAATCTTTTCTTGAAGACTCAATCATTACAAATATACATTCTGTCCTCTTTAAATGGTCAAGATTTTCTAGTGTCCCAGGGTGTCACTAAGGCCAGATAACACAAAGGTTGGGCTCCAGTTGGAGATGGGGAGTTAGGCTCAGCTGGCATCTACTCCAAACTTGATTTTCAGCAGAAACTTATCCTGGAAAGACTGCTATCAATTCATGGGCTGGCTGGATGGCAATTCATTTGGGCATGATGGTCTTAGTTAACTGAGGGGGAAAGACTGGAATTTGGAGATGCTGAAGAGGTTAAAATTTGCAGAGCAGGATATTTGAGAGGAGAGGGCTATTCAGAGGAGATGCTACAAGTCTGTGTATGGCCTACTCATAAGTCATTAGTTGAGCACTGGCCTGTATATATGCAGGTTTGGGGAAGAGCAGAATGAGAACTGAACACCTATCAGGTGATGTTGGACTTCCAGTCTAGTTACAGGGAGACCTTACTGATCACCTCAGCATTTAGTCTCCACAAAGGCCATGTTTAGGAGTAACAACAATGCCACAGAGTAAGGGCCATGTGCTGGGGAGTAAAATAAATCTAAAATAGTTCTGTCCTAGTAAGGAGCAGAATCAATTGTGCCGGATCAAAGCACTTGTCAGTAATTTAGTTATTTGCCACAACAAAGCTTAGAACCCTAAGAGGAGACAACACGGAGTGCCAACATCCACAACAATCACAACATCACACACAACAATCAGCATATAATTTAAAACTACATAGGAAACAGAAAAATGTGACTCTCAAAGATGAAAATAATAGAAACAGACTTACAGAAAACATAGATGTTGGAAAGATCAGAGGACTTTAAAATGCTTTTTATAAATATACTCAGACATAATGCAAAAGATGTATTTAAGGAGTGACTAGATGGGGAATGTCATCAGAGACATGAAAACTATTAAAAAAAAAAGCCAAATTAAAATGTCTGAAAAAAAATTCACTGGATGGGCTTAACAACAGACTGGAGCCCATGGGAGAAAAAAACAGCAAATCTGAAGACAGATTAATAAAGTCTTATATGAAGAACACAGAGAAAAAAGACTTTTTAAAAGTGAGCAGGACTTCAGTAACCTGTGAGATGGTGTCAAGTTATTCCAGGAGACGAGAGTGAATTTTGGGCCAGAAAAAAATATTTACAGAAATAATAATTAACTATGTCCCAACTTTGGTAAAATCAGCAACACACAAAGAATTTCAGTGAACCCCACGCAGGTTAAATATAAGAAAAATATAACTAAGACTTGTTAGAGTAAAACTGCTAAAGGTCAACAAAAAAGAGAAAAAATATGAAAGGCAGTCAGAGAAAAGATACATTATATTAATGAGAAAAATAATGCAAATGTTGGTTGATTTTGCATCAGAAACTATGGAAGCCAGTAGATAATGAACAATGTCCTTTAAAGCATGAAAATAAAAGCTTATTAATCCTGAATCTTATAGCCAGCAAAAATATCCTTTAAAAATTAGTAAATAAAAACACTTTCAGATAAGTTAAAGATGAGAGAATGCGTTGCCAGCAGACATGCAACACAAGAAAAGCTAAAGAAAGTTCTTTGGGCTGAAGGGAAATGAGTTGAGATGAAAACTAGAATTTATAGGAAGATGTACATGAAACTATAAATAATTATGTAGGTGAATAAAAGATCATGTTTCTGACTTAGTTTAATTTTTTTTTAAAGACAACTGACTATTTACAGTAAAAATAACTACCATATTATGGGTTTTACAATGTATACAGAAGTAAAATATTTGACAATAGCATAAAGATCAAAGAGATGGTAAATGGAATTATGCTGGTAAGTGTCAGAGCTGAAGCCCTCCTCAAAAAGAATAACATGAATTCTGTGTCACTGCCACTTTCCACAGTAAGTACTTTGTTCCTTCTTTCAGATGAATTATTTGTACCATTAATACATTTTGGCTCTAAACTAGATCATTATTAAAAAAATTCATCCCTTATATATAGAAAACTCAATAATTTCTTTAGTTTTACAGGGAAAGTGTCAGGCTAACTATGATGTCGCATTAATGACAAAGTAGGTTTAGAAGTGAATAAAGATATTAAAGTTGTTATTTTTAAAACTAAAATTGTCACGAGTTTTTTACTTTGGTTTGAATATTCAAACTTTAAACTCACTTAGATTCCAGTTTTGACTAGAATAAATGCACGTATTATTATAAGATAATCATTTATTCATCTTACAAAATACATTATCAGTGAAGGTGCACATAATCAAAGCTAGCCATAATAGTTTTATGCATCAGACTATGAAATTATCATACTATGAATAACCGAAGTATATTATCAGACATGAAATCCTTGTTTATAATGAATCAATTCAAAACAGAGGTCAAAACTTAAGTCTTCAGGAATGCATACTAAACTCAAAGCTCTAATCACACTTCACTGATTTTCTGGATAGCTATTCTTTTCTTAGCAGGTTCAGCCAAGGTATGGTCTAAATTATCTACAATTCAAAACCCTTTAGAGAATTTCTGTATCATCAGAGTGCCCCATTCTGTTGTTTCTGTGAGGACTTCAAAAAAAACAAAATCATGTAAAACATTTTAATTTAATTATACTGGAGGTGCTATTAGACAAATTATTTTAAAAAATCCTTAAAATGACAGAATGGTAGCAAACAGGAAAAGCTGAATCAAATGTACGCATACACTGTAAAAAAATTTTAGGCAAAAGAGTGAATAGGTGGAGTGGTTTTAGTGGGGCAATGGGCTTCCCACTCAGCTCAAAGTATCTAAGGTTATTTTGTTTTAATAACCAAAGCTCACTCATGCTTTAAATTCACATTCATTAGAATGAGCTGGTAGGCTGCTAAAAATGAATTGATAATTATAACAATCTTTCAGTGAAATAACTATTTGTGGGTGAAGAGAGAATGAAATCTTATTAATATATGCCTTAAAATAACACTCAAGCTGCTTAAAATTTAGAAATAATATCACTATTTCAGAAGTTAAAATTCTCTTTTAGTTTCTAAATATCTTTATTTCCTGAATATTTTAAATGACTTTCATTAAAGACATGAGGCTAGTTTTTCAAAATCAATCAAGTACTAAATGACTCATGCCTACCTTAATAAAACATGTTTTTTACAAGACCAAATAAAATTAAAACAAGGAAATAAATATTTTTTGCTTATGCACTATGAGAATTTCTTATAAACTATTTTCCTCTAAATGGCAAAAAGCTTTTCAAAGGACCTAGTTAATAAAAGCACAACACAACACTGACCAACATGATTCAAAATATACATGACACTGGGACTTCCCAATATAAAACAACCTCATGCATTTTCTGAAGCCATCATCTAAAAAATCAGTCAATATAAAAGAAAGGGTATAAAATCATCCTTTAAAATCTTTTGTGTAATTCAGACTACGGCTATCTCAGGTAGTTGCCTTGGTAAAGTATTTTGAAAAATGATGGATGCTGCAGATATTCACACAGACCTGTGCATTCTCTAACTTTATTATTAACAAACCAAAAGAAGGAAACTACCTTTAAAAATTAACCTCAGTGACCTACAGTACTGGAAAATATTAGAGATGAGAAGTTACTGACACTATAATAGATAGGGCAACTTGGGAAAAAGAAAAAGAATGAAGGAACGGGTTGACTCCTGAGATATGGTGGCATTCTGGAGACTCTTAACTAGTACTTGCCTGGGGTCTTTCTGAATGCTGTCTATTGACGGGGATCTCGTTGTGCCATCATCAGCCGGTGCTACGTGCTGAAGCCTGTTATAACTGCACTCCTGCACTCGGTACTGTATTGGCCTATAGGGCTCCGCATAGGTAGCTGTTGTGTTCAGAGCATAATTATTTCTTTGGTATGTAAGGGTACTTCGTTGGCTGGACGTCCTTTGCAGATTTCCAACACCTACTAGAAAGTCAACATTTTAAAAAAGATTAGTATGTTCTCCACAAAGAAATACTTTTCAAAGTAAAAATGTTTTGAATTTTAAGAAGGGTTTTTAACAATTCTATAAATTGCTTACTTTTAGATATTACCAATCTAGTTCATTAGAGGGAAAAAGGAACTAAATTTTTAATATAACACAAATATTAATATCAATTTTATTAGCAGGAAAGAGCAAAAACGAAACTATAAATCTGTTCCCATAGTAAGTCTGAATATATTTAAGATTCACTAACAAAACTGCAAGTGAAATAAAGGGAAATGATCTTAGAAATAAGTAGGAAAATTTTATAACTTAATTTAGCAATAAAAAATAAGCAAGATATTTTTTCAGACTTATAGATTATTGAAACCAATCTTTGGACATGTAGTGAATACAGGTTACTTATTTTGATATACATTTTATTTCTAGATGTGTGGATTTTGATAACATTGAGAGAAAAACTTTATAGGAAAGAAGACTGATAAATCAATCAAATTCTTTTAAAGCTACTCCCTAAAATTATTGCCTGATGCTATAATAATAAGGTATTGCACAGAGTATTTAACATTTTTTTTCCAAATTATTGCAATAGGTAGCTCTCCAACGATTGTGTTTACAATCTTCCTGCAACTAACATATTTTAATAACATTATTTATTTCTTAAACCTCATAAAAAATTCTTCAATATGTAGACCCAAAGAGTAAAATATTTCTCCACTAACATCTATTAAAAATTGTCATGTTCTCTTAGAAGAAAAATCCCACAGTGGACCCAACTGTCAGTTTTTGCAATAACAGTTTTTTCCCTCATGGTGGTCTGGCTCTTAGAGTTGTGTCTTTAGGATGTTATCATTGCTATTTAGAATTCACTTATGGGCATGTTAATAAATCTATACTAATTTTTTTTTTCTTTTAAAGAAGGGGCCTCTTGAGAACCTATAAATGAGACCTGTAGCACAGTCTGGCAGCTCACGGGGTCACAGGCTCTAGTTTCTCCTCTATCAGTGACTGTGGTGAGGCACACGTGACGCTAGGGGTGCAAGAATGTGATTCACTGGCTCCCTATGTTTTCTTTTTTGACTTAAAAAATTTTTATTGAAGTATAGCTGATTTACAATGTTGTATTAACTTCTGCTATATAGCAAAGTGACTCCATTTCATGTATATATATACACACATATACATAAATTCTTTTTCATATTCTTTTCCATTCTGGTTAATCACAGGATATTGAATATAGTTCCCTGTGCTACACAGTAAGTCTTTGCTGTTCATTGATCCTACATATGCTAGTTTGCATCTGCTAATCCCAAACTCTCAATCCTTCCCTCACTAGCTCCCTATTTTTATAACTGGCAGCACTGCATTCTGCCCTAGATTGAGTCCATAATAAGGAAAATTAATTTCACATCCTACCACTTAAACATTCAGAAAAAATTCAGTATCAGAAAAGAGTAATACCAAATATACTTGGGTCACATATGTGCCAAATCAAAGATAAGCCAATAGCTCACATAAGGATTTTCTCTGAAGATGCATTCTAGGCAACAAAAATTACAAATTAATATTTCCCAAAAGGCTTTTCTTTCTGATATGCTTCAAATTCAAGGAGTCAAATTTATAGCTGTACAAACTTACTTGTGAACTAAGGTATAACTGTTTAGACTGAACTATGGTAAATATATATTATCTATGATGTGAAAGTTGTTCAGTCATGTCCGACTCCTATGAACTGTAGCCCACCAGGCACTACGTTCTTCTGTCCACGGAATTCTCCAGGTAAGAATACTGGAGTGGGTAGCCATTTCCTTCTCCAGGAGATCTTTCTGACCCAGGGATTAAACCTAGATCTCTTGCATTGCAGGCAGATTCTTTACCATCTGAGCCGCCAGGGAAGCCAACCAGTAAACAGGTCCTAAATGACCTTCTATTTTCCTGTTTATTGATCTGCTTTCGTAACTGTTAATCTAACATCCAAATGGACAATGTGAGTTCCTTCTAACAGGAAACCCATCACAATAAAATCCTCTACTCTTGGACCTGTGAAATTAAGAAAGGAACTAAAGAGAGCTGATGCCCACCTGAGCCTGTGCGGTACAGCGCTGTCTGTGACCCCTGGAGCTCCACGGTTCCGTGGTTTGGGCTGCGGTACACTGGGCTGTAATAGGTCCTCCCCTCATATATAGGAGTGATGTGCAAGTCGGGAGACACAGCTGAACGGAGGTCTTGTCCAAGTTGGCTGTGCTGACTAGCATAGGAACTCCGTAAGCCTACAGGCAGGAAAATTACATCATTAAGAAACTTGGAACACTGCGGTGAGGTTACATGTATAACTCCTAATCAATATGACCAAATGCTGAGTCTAAACACCAAATCCAGTAAGTTTTACAGGATACCATATACACTCTAAAAGTAAGACTTTCTCCTGGCAGCAGGATAAAAGCAAATTTTCTAAAATATACACATATATATACATATACACACACAAAATTATTAAATGGCTTGATATTCTGAAATTCATCCCCCAACTCTAAGTTATTTTATGATGGTGACCAAAAAGAGCATGCCATCATGTCCCATACCTCTTTATATCCCAACGCTTAAGATGACACCTACATAATAGTGCTTACAAATAGGCTGATATTCAAGAACTGTTCTGACCTTTGTCTCAATTTATTCATGCAATTTTTTTTACAGAAAAACATGAAATTTTATGTTATAGACTTTAAAAAACCATCAGCAAACTAATAAGATCTATAAAGCATTATTTTCTTATTTGTTATTGCAATTTAAAAAAAAAAAGACAAAACCAAAACAGGTATTTTTCCAGGAACCCACATACCAGATTCTTGTTTACCTTCTTTCTGGTATAAAGGAAAAGTACAAAGTTAGTGTATTAATATTAAGTTACTTCAACCACTCTTTCATTCCAACTGTTTATAATGCAGATTTCAAACCCAAACATTTTAATTTCTTTTAAAAAGTGACATAGTATTTTCTGTACTGTGATGCTCAGAAATTTGTGATCTGTCATCATTAGTAAGCAAAATTTGTCACTTTGTAAGAATACCAACTAAGGTTATATTCCAAATATGAGGAAGAAAAAGCATAAACATATCTGAAGTCAGTCAGCATATATTTGTTTTTAAAAAGATTGCAAATAATCAACACAGTAACTGATTACAAAAAGTTACAATCATTCACATCCTGTTAGCTCACTTAATCACAGCATAACTAAGAACAAATGGGGCTGAATGTGAGTGATAATTATATGTTGCTTAGTGAGGAGTGGCAAGAGAGTTAATACATAAAGCTTCTAAAATGAATGATTATTACCTATCCCAGAGAGCAATGTGACATGGGAAGAAATTAAATGAACAAATGCGGGTTTTGGCTACTGGCTACCCACTTGCTAAAATAAAGATCACATGTTTATATAATCTTATAATTGGGAGATTATTCAGTCAAATCTTCCCATTTCAAAATTGAGGAAATAGAGCCGAAAAGGAAATGCAGTTCATCCTCTTCAGAGAGCTACTTTCTGGGAGGGCTGAGAGGAAGCTCTCTCTGTGCCCTTTCTGTCACTGCACACTCAACATTGGGCAAAACTACTTCTCAAGGATCATTGAGACACAGTATGAGAAATCCTGAACTGGGCTGAGCCCTCCACAAACAAGGTTTAAGAGGGAGGTTAGTTCACCAGTGGCTCAAGGAAGCCCATGTAACTCTAAGGCCGATGCTATGATTGCTATTGTAAAGTTCTCATTTGAGGATTTCAGCTTTGTACTTACTGGCAGATTTCTCATTCTTACAGAGTATAAACTCCATTTCTTTATAGAGCCCATGAGAATCCTAAGCAAAAGAGCCGGCATTGTTTGTTAACTGTGACGTAAACTGGGCAGCAAAATGTACCTTGTCCTTGGAAATCTTATCAGTATGAGGTGCTATTTTCATATTCAGTAGAACACTTGATTTACTGTGAGACTGAAGATCACAAACATGTGGGCCAAGGCAAGTTGAGCCCTAGATGCTCCTAAAGCCCGCCAAGTCCCACTTGGCCCACTCGCACTGTGGTGTGAAATGAGACCAAAACATTCTGTTCCATTCAAAATGTGACAGGCTCACTGTGCAAGGATCTGGCTGGAGTCTTCAATGGAATTCATGTAATATGAAAACTTTTGTGGCCATTTACTATGATTTCATAAGAAAGGACCCAAATGAGCTTGTTAACACTTAGAACTATAGAAAGTATCCAGTGAACATTCCCTGTTACAGGGTTCCTAGTGAGATGCAATTACTGTGTGTCACAGATTATAACAAGAAATAAAGAACTTAAGAATTACAGTGAGACACAGCAATTTTCTGATATTAGAAATCTTTGTAATATTATGGTTAATATTTTTATTTACCTACTCACGCATTAAAACAAAAATACACAGTCTTAGAGATTAATATTTAAAAAATAACAAAATTATATAGCCCCAATAGATTAAGTTCAAACCTATCACATGGACCACAGCCTTGTCTAACTCAACGAAACCATGAGCCATGCCGTGTTGGGCCAGCCAAGACGGACGGGTTATGGTGGTGAGTTCTGACAAAATGAGGTTCACTGGAGAAGGGAATGGCAAACCACTTCAGTTTTCTTGCCTTGAGAACCCTATGAACAGTATGAAAAGGCAAAAAGATAGGACACTAAAAGATGAACTCCCCAGGCCGGTAGATACCCAATAGGCTACTGGACAAGAGGGGAGAAATAACTTCAGAAAGAATGAAGAGATGGAACCAAAGTGAAAACAACACATAGTTGTGAATGTGACTGGTGATGAAAGTAAAGTCTGATGCTGTAAAAAGCAATAGTGCATAGGAACCTGAATGTTAGGTCCACGAATCAAGGTAAATTGGAAGTGGTCAAACAGGAGATGACAAGAGTGAACAATGATATTTTAGGAATCAGTGAATTAAAATGGACTGGAATGGGTGAATTTAACTCAGATGACCATTGTATCTACTACTATGAACAGGAATCCCTTAGAAGAAATGGAGTAGCCCTCATAATCAACAAAGGCGTCCAAAATGCAGTTCGAGGGTGCAATCTCAAAAAAACCAAAATGATCTCTGTTCATTTCCAAGGTAAACCATTCAATATCACACTCAATCCAGGTCTACACTCCAACCAGTAATGCCGAAGAAGCTGAAGTTGAATGTTCTATGAAGACCTACGAGACCTTCTAGAACTAACATCCAGAAAAGATGCCCTTTTCAGTATAGGGGACTGGAATGCAAAAGTAGGAAGTCACGAGATACCTGGAGTAACAGGAAAATTTGGCGTTGGAGTACAAAATGAAGCAGGGCAAAACCTAAGAGAATTTTGCCAAGTGAACGCATTGGTCATAGCAAACACCCTCTTCCAACAACACAAGAGAAGACTTTACACATGGACATCACCAGATGGTCAATACCGAAATCAGACTGATTATATTGTTTGTGGCCAAAGATGGAAAAGCTCTATACAGTCAGCAAAAAGAAGACCAGGAGCTGACTGTGGCTCTAATCATGAACTCCTTATTGCAAAATTCTGACTTAAATTGAAGAAAGTAGGGAAAACCATTAGAACATTCAGGTATGACCTAGATCAAATCCCTTATGATTATACAGTGGAAGTGACAAATAGATTCAAGGGATTAGATCTGATAGACAAGAGTGCCTGAAGAACTAAGGACAGAGGTTCATGACATTGCACAGGAGGCAGTGATCAAGACCATCCCTGAGAAAAAGAAATGCAAAAAGGCAAAATGGTTGTCTGAGGCCTTTCAAATAGCTGAGAAAAGAAGAGAAGCTAAAGGCAAAGGAGAAAAGAAAAGATACAGCCATTTGAATGCAAAGTTCAAAAGAATAGCAAGGAGATATAAGAAAGTGATCATCAGTGACCAGTGCAAAGAAATAGAGGAAAACAATAGAATGGGAGACTAGAGATCTTTTCAAGAAAATTAGAGATACCAAGGGAACATTTCATGCAAATATGGGCACAATAAAGGACAGAAATGGTATGGACCTAACAGAAGCAGAAGATATTAAGAAGAAGTGGCAAGAATACACAGAAGAACTATACAAAAAAAATCTTCATGACCCAGATAACCACGATGGTTTAATCACTCACCTAGAGCCAGACATCCTGGAATGAGAAGTGGCCCTTAGGAAGCATCACCATGAACAAAGTTAGTGGAGATGATGGAATTCCAGCTGAGCTATTTCAAATACTAAAAGATGATGCTATGAAAGTGCTGCACTAAATATGCCAGCAAATTTGGAAAACTCAGCAGTGGCCACAGGCCTAGAAAAGGTCAGTTTTCATTCCAATCCCAAAGAAAGGCAATGCCAAAGAATTTTCAAACTATTGCACAATTGTACTCATCTCGCATGCTAGCAAAGTAATGCTGAAAATTCTCCAAGCCAGGCTTCAACAGTACATGAACCATGAACTTCCAGATGTTTAAGCTGGATTTAAAAAGGCAGAGGAACCAAATATCAAATTGCCAACATCTGCTGGATCATTGAAAAAGCAAGAGAGTTGCAGAAAAACATCCACTTCTGCTTTATTGATTATGCCAAAGCCTTTGATTGTGTGGATCACAACAAACTGTGGAAAATTCTTTAAGAGATGGGAATACCAGACCACATTACCTGACTCCTGAGAAATCTTATGCAGGTCAAGAAGCAAGAGTTAGTACTAGACATGGAACAACAGACTGGTTCCAAATTGGGAAAGGAGTATGTCAAGGCTGTATATTGTCACCCCGCTTATTTAACTTATATGTAGAGTACATCATGAGAAACGCTGGACTGGAGGAAGCAGAAGCTGGAATCAAGATTGCCGGGAGAAATATCAATAACCTCAGATATGCAGACGACACCACCCTTATGGCAGAAAGCAAAGAAGAACTAGAGAGCCTTTTGATGAAAGTGAAAGAGGAGAGTGGAAAAGTTGGTTTAAAACTCAACCTTCAGCAAATTAAGACCATGGCATCTGGTCCCATCACTTCATGGCAAATAGTGGGGAAACAATGCAAACAGTGAAAGACTATTTTTTTGGGCTCCAAAATCACTGCAAATGGTGACTGCAACCATGAAATTAAAAGATGCTAGCTCCCTGGAAGAAAAGTTATGACCAACTTAGACAGAATATTAAAAAGCAGAGATGTTACTTTGCCAACAAATGTCCACAGAATCAAAGCTATGTTTTCCATTTTCATGTGTGGATGTGAGAGTTGGTCCATAAAGAAAGCTGGAAAAAAAAAAAAGAAAAAGAAAGCTGAGCGCTGAAGAATTAATGCTTTTGAACTGTGGTGTTGAAAAAAACTCTTGAGAGTCCCTTGGACTGCAAGGAGATCCAACCAGTCCATCCTAAAGGAAATCAATACGGAATATTCATTGGAAGGACTGATGCTGAAGCTGAAACTCCAATACTTTGGCCACCTGATGCGAATAGCTGACTCATTTGAAAAGACCCTGATGCTGGGGAAGATTTAAAGCAGGAAGAGAAGGGGACGACAGAGGATGAGATGGTTGGATGGTACCACCGAGTCGATGGACATGAGTTTGAGCAAGCTCTGGGAGTTGGTAATGGACAGGGAAGCCTGGCGTGCTGCAGTCCATGGGTTTACAAAGAGTCAGACACGACTGAGTGAGCTGAACTGAACTGAACTGAATAGATTAAGTAAGGTGATTTTGCAGAAAGGCTACTATAATTTAGTATCTTTTAAACTGGAAGATAAATAATTTGCTGCAATTCCACAAATACATCTCAAGTTTACCTACCTCAATGAGATATTCCTTGTGATTTAAAACCTCTATATTTAAGTCAGTGAAAACAAACATAAATTTATCTTTCAAATGTGAATTCTTTTTATTCGCAAAACTTGCCTTAATATGCTATGGTTATATTAAAATGAATGTTTCAGGGCAGACATATTTTTCTGTTGTAGGACATAATTTATACACATCATTTAAATTATGATCACCAAATATTCAAGTGTCTGAATCTATTACAAAATATTGCTTTAGGCTTTTCAATTAGCAGGTTGTTAAGTCTTTGAACTCAAGAACCATAGTAAATATGACAAGCACATAACTTTCTGAAATAAAAAAAAGAAAGGAATTTACAAATTAGGATCTACATTCAGAATAACTGGGCAGGTGGACAGATGATGGGAACCAAAGCTTCCTTAGAACATTTTTAAGAAACCCTTTGCTTCTTTTGAAGACTGGTATTCAAGGGAACAAAAAAATCCATAGTAGGCTATATTTTTTTTCCCCCTGAAACATAAAGTTTAACTTCACCTGCATTGTGAAGAGAGGCAGGTTTTTTAAACTACAAGAGTTCAGCCCTCAGGGTTAAACATGGAGACAGTTCTTTATGTGCTCACTTTCTTTCCTGGTTTTCTCTTCGCCCTACTGCAAACATAGATTTCTGCACAGCTATTGTTCATAAATACGGAGGGGTGTGGGTAGGGGGAACAGAAATCCTCAGAACTACTTCTCTCTTCAGGTTTCCTTTGGTCATAAATGATTCCTAGCTCACTCTGCTGCATACTTTTCAGAGACATGCCAGAAGATATCTAAGCCAAGTATACCCTTCTGACGGCTGAATGAAAAAGAGATAGTTTCTCCATTAGGAATTTCCTTGAGCTCAAAATCAAGGTCAATATTTATTCTTTGTGCAAGACCATGCAATTAGAAAATCTGAAAAAGGCTTTGTTTTTCCCAGAAGCCATAAGGAATGGATACTAATTTTACCATACAAAATAAATATTAAAAACTCCTGTAAGTAAGAAATACCAAAAAAAGGTCAAAAGACAAATTAGAATATGAAAAATAATTGAGAAGCATATTACAAGGGGTCAATTTATTTCAAGTATAAAAAGCATTTACAAATTAAAAAAAAGAACAGACAAAAGACCTGAACTTGCAATTTGCAGTAAAGCAATAAAGTGGCTGATAAACATCAAATCATCCACCTCAGTCATTACTCAACACAGGCCGCTTAAAACAGTGAGGTACAGACTGGCAAAGATGAAACACCTTGACAATATGCAGTGCTAGTGAAGGTGCAGGGAACAGGGACTCAAGCTACTAGTGGAAATAAAAATCTATAAAAGTTTAGTGGGGGCAATTTGATAGTATTTCATTAAGAAAACACATACACACATTTTGATCCAGCAGTCCTACTTCAAGAAATGGATCTCACAGTTATCTTAGTAAGCTATGTGCAAATATGCAGGAATAATATATATTGTATGATTGTCTCTAACAGCTAAAAATGAGGAAATCTAAATGTCTGTTAATAGAAAGGTGATTAAACAAATTATAATATGTCTATAAAATAAGGTCCTAGGCATCCCTTGAGAGGATGAGGTAGAACCTTCAGATTCATTAAAAAAAAAAGAAGGTATAGGAGATACATATAATAGCGCTCCAACAGCATAAAAAATACAGTGTGTGCACATCTATATGTAATATATATACTTATATATAATAAAACAGTCTGGAGGACACATAAACTGGGGAGTGGGACTGGGTGAGGGTAAGAGGGGGCTGAGACTTTCACTTCACAATTTATATTTCCTACATAGTTTTAACTTTATTTTACTAGCTAAAGATGAATATCATTTTAATCAAAAGTCTGTACATCCTGTAGAAAACCCACGATGAGAAAACTCTGAAAGAAACAGCTGTACTATCAGTGATCTGGTTGGTGTCTTTCTGACTTAATCCAAGTGGCATTTGAAGGCAATTCATAAGAATTTCGTGGCTTTCCCATTGGGGTGCTAAAAATCAAGGCAGTAGGTGAGGAAATCCACATTCTAGTCTACACTAGAATGTAGATTTATGTAAGGCATGTAAGGCATGTCGTTAAAAAAAATTATATTTGAATATACATTCTGATACCACCTTTTAACATAATTTAGGGTTTTGAGTATGGGTAGGCCTAGCTGGTGAAAAATATTTCACTATGAAAAACTGCAACCAACAGTTTAGAATTCTAGCCAATTCTTCTAATATGCAAAAAGTATTTACCTTTTATATCCTAGTTTTCTGAGGGATGGGGGAAATGTTTTCATTGCAAAAGAGGTCTGGTGATATAAATGTATATAATTTGATGGATTAAAAAGTATAAAGCCTGAAAGAAAAGTCAGCCTGCAGTCTGTGGTACACTGCGGTACAAATTTTGAGACAAAAACATAAGGTTTTTCCACGTTATATGCTCTGTTTTAACAACGGTTGCATGGAACACTTTCCCACTGGGCTTGTGTAGGGGTGTCACCTGTACTCACCTGTCAGGCTATCTGGCCGAGGTGGAACCATCCTCTCATAAATTTCATACTGCTGCGGTCCGAATTGTTCCATGTCGTGAACAGTCCTTTGCAGTGAAGGTCCCAGATGCTGTGGTACGGCGGTCATCCCTGAGCGTTTGGGGGATGATGACCCCACCTGGCCTTGGGATGGGGAAGCTACTCGAATCTGTGCATCCGTCAGGGTCAGTGGGGACCCCACTCTGGTGGTGGTTTGGTACTGAGGGGTTGGTCCGTTGGGATTGGAGGTCTGCCGGGAGGTGACTGACCCAATCCGACGTACAGCTGATGGGGAGGCGGGTCTCTGTGCAGAGTATGGAGAAGCTGCCCGCTGAGCAGGTAATGTGGTGGAGGAGTATGCACTGGGGTTCAGTGGTCGGGAGTCGGTCACAGAGGGAGAGCCAAATCCACTACCCAGAGAAGTTCTCAGTGACCCCCTTGAAGGAGACACGCCTGTGCTGATAACATAAGAAGGAGACTGTGCTCTAGATGGAACTGAACTAACTCTTCTCATGGCCCGATTGGCCACTGATGGCTGATGGAAGGGGGAGAAAAGAGAATGGTTTATCCAGGGTTGTGTATCCATGGTCATTACAGAAAAGCAAGCACATAGCTAACTACAGAATGTGAACTCATTTATTTCAGGCCTTTCCTTTCCTTTTTGAGTGGTAGAGCTGAATCTTAATTTTTCCTTATTCTGTTTTTCTTGCTCTACTTTTTTTGTTTTTGGTGATTTAATCTCCACCTTTCCCTTTCAGAATACTAAAACCAACCCGTAAGGAGAGATACAAAGATATTTAATATTCCTTTTACTTTTGTCTTTATATGACGTGACCCTCTGCCCATTCACTTTTCACAACACATAGTATGTTGTATCGCAAGTGTGAAGGGTCACTGGAATAGTGTAATTACTTTGTACCCTGTAAATCTAAGTTTGGCTATGGTAACCCATTTGTATAAAACAAAACTTTTTCAATATGTTAAGTTAGAGCAGTATCTATAATTATCTTTATATCTGTCTTTATGGGTTGACCCCATTTACAAAAGGAAGGTATTTTCTCAAAGTGGAGTAACTGAACATTTGGATAGGGTCTGGGGTCCAAAAGTACTCCTCTGTGTACAAGTGCTCCAGTCAAATCTGTCTTTTCTTTTAGCTTCATTGTGGCTGCTAGTGATTTCAGCCATTTCTTTCTATTTCCTTTGATTCACAGGCTCTTGTATTAAGCTGGTGGATTGAACGAGATACGAATAATCAGCCCTCAAATCTGTTGCAGCAGAAGGAATGCTCAAAATCTCCACTGGGTTCTGGCCAGCTGGGAAAGAAGGAACATTTCTGCCATGGCCAGTCCTATGAGTCCATACACTCTTGCAAATATTGCATCTCAGATCACTGTCTTCATGCAGGACAACAATAAAAAGGAATAGTGGCTGGACTGGGGTGTTGGGTTAAAAGGTCAGAACTGAGCTTTCTGTATTTCCTTAGTGATGACTAGAGTTCAGTTGTCATCAACCTCCTGTTACTTTTAATTGGGGCAATAAAGGAAGAAACAGGGATGACTCAAGGACTTTGTACGTTCTCAGATGCTATGAAAGGAAATAGGCTCTGTCTCCATGTGTCACAAGCAACTGGTTGCCTGAGACATGGGTCTGAGACCACTCAGGAGCTCAAACTCGAGAATTCTAAGAAGGCAATAGCCATGGAAAGGAGGTCTGGGGAGGGAAGGGGACTGTAAATAAACAATAAGGCAAGAAAGAGGTGGTTTAAAAATTAGTAGGCAGTTGGAAAATTAAAATCTGTGCTTGGGGTTTATTAATAGTACTAAAGGTAATTTAAAAGACCCACATATAAGTTGTTTACTATCAAAAAAGGATGACACTTGGCTCAGATGTCTACAATCTGTGTTTCCTGGAATACATGCAAATTTAAAGACCCCCTTGCAACTTCCAGGAACAAAATCAACTTACCTATGTTTAAAAAAAAATTAAAGAAAAGGTCAATTTGACCACTCTTAGGAGCAAAATAGAAAATCTCTGTAATTATTATTGAGAAGTGTGACTTCAGGTCTGCTGACATTGAGATTGACCTAAGCAGATGAACATCTGTAAACATTTAGTATAAAGCTTGTCAAACCATTCCCTCAGTGCATCCCAACAGCAGAGGAGTAAATGTATCAACTGAGGAAGGGGTGGGATGGGGCTGAGGGGTATTGCAGCTGGAAGTAGTTTGCTATGGGCACAAGACTTCCTGTCCTAGCTTAAAAATTCATGCACCTTATTTGTGTTTGTTTTAATACAGAAATGTTTCTTAATACTTAAAAGTTTCCCCTAAATTGTTGAGCCAAAGTCGTATTGTATTTCTCCCTTGGCTCTGGCCCGCTGCTGTGTGTACCTTCAGGGCTTCCTGTATTGCATTAAGAGGTTAGTGTTAGACTAACTTCTTTGATCATCGTGCCATTTTTCAGCTCCAGAGAAATCACTGGGGCACTTGGCCAGAAAGTCATCTTACTGGTTACTGCCACTTGGGACTCTTATAACTTCTACTAATTTTGGCATATGCTGGAAGGCTGAATGAATAAAGTGGCAGTGAATGAGGAGCTAAGGAGCTTTCATAAATATATATGCATTATTATTATTAACATCAAGTAAGAAAATCCTACCAAAATGGTTATGCTTCTATATACTAGCTTTCTATAGGCAGGAATAACTATATTCTAGCAAAGATATGTGTTTTCAGAGAAAAATTCCAATGATGAAGGCAAAACCTTTGGTTAGAATGGACCAACCCCATCGTATACAAGTGTGGGAACTGTGCTCTGCCCCTCTAGGACTCTTCACAGCACATTTTAGCTCTAGTATTCTGAGGAACTCACAACTAGGCTAGAATATACCACCCAGTTCTCTCACACTCTCCCTGGACCACTCTCCTGATGCCAAACTTGTTGCTTTCAGAAAAACTGCTCTCCTATATCTAGAATTTATCAGATTTAATTAGTAGGAACTAATGCATTCTTAGTTTTCAAGTTTAAAATTTCATTAGCATCATGGTGTAAAATGATTTTGCTGCACCATCCATTCTAGAAGTTCAAAATTGTACACATTGGGTTTACTTTTAATGAAGAATACTTAAATAAATAACACATAATCAATTAGGAGGGCATTTCTTTACAAAGATCTTGATGTGTTTGGCTTACCTGAACCAGTGTTTGCCCTTCAGCTCTTGAATTCCTCACCAGGTGGTTATTAGTTGATCCTACGAATGAATGCTGTGGTCTATTATCTGCCTTACTCAAGTTCTGGCTGTTGTGGAAACTCCCTGCTTCCTGGTATCCACTGTCGGAATAAGAATTCATTTGTGTTGAACTTCTTGAGTTACCCAAAGATCCTGCAGGAATGAAACCAGCAGGAAATGCCTTTACTTTACATTTCTGATGCTCATTTTCAAAATGGAAGCATTAAAGCAAATCTAATACTTAAAAGATAATACAACAGACCCTCACTTTCATGGAGAGACGTCTGTTCTGGTGAGTAGAGGGTCCCTGGTTCTGGCTCTGTCCTGATAAAATAGTTGTTGGGATGGACAGCGTCAGAAACTCTAGGTTTGTTTACACCAGTATTTGGCACATCTGCAAGAAGATAAGTTTAATCAGCTAAAATGAATGACATTAGATAAAAACTTGCTAAAAAAAAGGATCAGGTATTTGTCAGCAACGTCAGATAATCTTAATACAAGACTATCAGCTCAAGACTTCATACAAGTTAATATGAGAGTATTTTCACCTTAAACCACAGTCATTTTGACTCTTCTCTATAGAAAAGTATTGCATATACTCAGTTTGTTACTATGTTTTGCTAAATTTCATGAGTGTTTTTCATCCTGATTACCAGCCACAAATTAACTCACATGATGCATTAAATGAAAATCTGAAAACTGACCTTGTTTTCCCTTGGAAAACTCATCTCCTGGGTGACTTCCTCCAAGAGGATCAACAAACTGAGTGAGAATGATGCTATTTAAACAAAAGATCTTCCATATCTCAAACTTTTGAAATGAAAACTTGCATGATGTCCACATTATTGAGCTTGGTGATGAAACTCTGGAAGGCAGGGCTAGCTTTTTATGTCAAATTTCATATGGACTAAAATCAAAAAAACTTCACACAGTTTTCAGAACTGTCAACAATGGAAATTTTAATTTCTTATCCACTTGCTTCTTTTATGCTTTTAGTCTTTTTCCAAATGAATAGACAAACTTAGCCTCATTACTGTTTTCTCTAGGCAAATCTCTTTTGCCTATTATCTTGTTTTATTTTCAACTATATCATTTTGCCATCTTGAACTTAAAAAACAAAACCATTTATCTTCTTCTTCCCAATTCCAACCTCCTTCTTATATTATAAATTTAGGTGGAGTAGATTAAACTGCATTTTATTCAACTCGATTTGAATATGTTCTTGTTTCTCTAGTATCTTCAAAATATATTTGCCCAGATTGTGATGACAAGTCTTTCTTGCCTCAAATTTAACCCTAATGTTGCTAACAAACATTTTTTTCAGAATGCTGCTTCACTCTCACTTTATAAATTGAATCTGCATCATATTCTGAGTTTAACACACAGTCCTAAGGAGGACTGAAATTTGTCTTTCTGACTTTACTTATTAAGGGCCTGCTATATGCCAGGCTCTAAGAATGTGGCTTTCCTTGCAAGAAAAGCTTTAACAAATGTAGACAGCATATTAAAAAGTAGAGTCATTACTTTGCCGACAAAGATCCATACAGTCAAAGCTATGGTTTCTCCAGTGGTCACGTATGGATGTGAGAGTTAGACTATAAAGAAAGCTGAATGCTGAAGAACTGATGCTTTTGAACTGTGGTGCTGGAAGAGACTCTTCAGAGTCTGTTGGGCTGCAAGGAGATCAAGCCAGTCCATCCTAAAGGAAATCAGTTGTGAATATTCATTGCAAGGACTAATGCTGAAACTCCAATACTCTGACCACCTGATGCGAAGAGATGCCTCATTGGAAAAGACGCTGGTGCTGGTAAAGATTGAAGGCAGGAGGAGAAAGGGACGACAGATGATGAGATAGTTGGATGGCATCACCAAGTCAACGGACATGAGTTTTAGCAAGCTCTGGGAGTTGGTGATGGACAAGGAAGCCTGGCATGCTGCAGTCCATGGGGTTGCAAAGAGTTGGACACGACAGAAGTGAACTGAAGAATGTGGCTGAGAAAAGACACAGTGTATGTGTGTGTGTGCACGCACATGTGTTGGTGCTACTGTCTAGGGTTAAGGAATTTAGGAAAAGTTTCCTAGAGGATGTAGTATCTAAGTAGTATCCACTTACCACAGGAGGTCAGCTTGTCCTTTCTTTATAGCACTTACCATCACCTCTCTCCACTAGAATAGAAGCTCAAAGTGGGCAGGGACTTTTGTCTGAGTTGCTTAATGTTGTACCTCAGTGCCTAGGACAAGTGCATAGCACTCAGTAAGTGCTCAGTAAATACTTACTGAGCAAACAAATTCCCAGAAAGAGCAGCAGCTTCTCTTTACTGAGTACTGATTCACACCTGGCATTGTGCTGCAGCTTGTGTTCAACAAGATTTGTCTATGTAAACAAGGGCTTCCCTGGTGGCGCAGCTGGTAAAGAATCCGCCTGCAATGTGGGAGACCTGGGTTTGATCCCTGGGTTGGGAAGATCCCTTGGAGAAGAGAACGGATACCCACTCCAGCATTCTGGCCTGGAGAATTCCATGGACAGAGAAGCCTGGCAGGCTACAGTCCACTGGGGGTCACTGAGAGTCAGACACGACTGAGCACCTTTCACTCACTCTTGTAAAGCAAGGTATAACTTTTAGGCATTGCTGATCAAGCTAGGTTGAAAAGTGAAAACAGAGTTTATAGGCAAACTGGAATCCTACATTTGAATCCTTTAACTTGATGTCAGATTCAGTCCAAGGTTTTGTTTCCTAGCCCCCAGAAAGATTTGCTGACATTCTTAATAATAGGTTTTTGATGAATGTGTCTCCAAATTTATTATTTGACAGTACACTTCTAGGTAGCAGAGATCTGTGACAGTTCTGAATTCTTAAGTTTGAAATTTTAATATAGGTTTCAGATTGCATGTGGTTCCCCCAGTTCACACTGAAACATGCTCTCTCTCTCTACCAGGCTAATAATACTGGAGAGTTATCTGCTTCAATTTGCAAGTCTTCTGTTTTTCCACAGTCCTAAACATTCTTACACTGCAATTTGTGAAGGAGTTTTATGAGGAACAAGTAAAATACATAGTTTGCTGGGTTATAAGAATTTTACAGGGAATAGGATGACTGAGAAAAGCTAAACAAGAGATGACCTGAAATCAGAGCTATGCAGCAATATGCCTTTATTTCATCCAGGAAAGGAACACGGGAACGCCACACATGAAATGGCAACAAACTATAGATATGGAGGAATCACTGGGGTAGCTTCAAGACTTCACGTACATGAGGAAATGTGTCATTTTTAAAAAGAAAAAGGTGTTTAGATAGTTTCTAGCTTCGGCTTTATAAAAGATAAAACCTGCAATACCAAAACATCAAAGTTTTTGACTTGGAAACACTAGGTGGCATGCAGTGTCAGAACGTGAAAAAATTATCACCATGGAAACCAAAACCATTGGAGTTCTGTGTATAGCTCTCTTTTTAACCATTAGGGGATATGATTTAAATAAGAAAAGAGCAGGAGACACCCTAAAAATCTGTACTTCAGCAATTTGGTCTCTTTATCCTATGGAACATTTTATTGAAACCAGGAGACAAGCAACTGTGCTTGTTTTTTAAAATAAGATATTTAAAATAAATCACCTTAGAGGGATGGAGATGGAGGAGCAGGAAGATCCTGAGCCCAGTTCCTCCTATGGAGACACAAAACAGCACCCGCATTTAGAACCACCATGTCTGAGGGTGATCTGAAGACTAGAAAACAGATTTTCTACAACTGAGGATACCAAGAGAAGACCACAGTGAGATGGGCAGGAGGGGCAGAACACAAACCTTCGGTGTAGCCACTCATAGCGGGAGATACTGCAACTGTGGAGGACCCCCGAGGAGCGAGGGACCCATGTCAGGCTGCCCAGCCCAGGGGACCTGTACCAGGAAGACGAGCCCCCATAATGCCTGGCTTTAAAAACCAGGGAAACTTACGTCTGGGAGAGCCAGAGAGCTGTGGGAAACCAAGAATCTGCCCATGAAGAGCTCACACGCAAACTCATTTTCTCCAAGTCCCAGGGCAGAAGCAACAGCTTGAAAAACACTGACGATATAAGAGAAGGAGATTCACTGACTAATCTGGGGACATTTGCCAGAGGGCAGGGGTCTGGTGAAACTGTCTCTGGAAATGAAAACACTGACAGATGTCATTTTTTTTTTTCCTTTCCTTCCCCTGGGTGACCTGTTGCCAGCAGGTGTCATTTCTGTTACTCTGTTTTTCAACCTAACAAAGACTGTGAACCTTGCCCAGATGTTCCAGAGGACCAGCCCTGATCAGTCCACCTGCCCCCACTGGCCCCTTTAGTGATTCTCACTCTGCCCCCACAGTGGGTGACCCGAGCCAGCACCAGAACACCTCTAATGTGGCTCCCACAACAGGGAACTAGCCAGCATACCCGTGTGTCTGCAATAGTTCCAGCTGGGACCTACAGCCAGTTGTGGGCAGACCAGCCCCACCCACATATCAGTGTGCCTGCAGCAACTGAGGACAAACCTCTCAGCTAGCTGAACCAAGGAGTCACAATCTACCACAGTGCCCATAGCAATCATGGTTCAACCACACGAAGTAAAGGCAGCCCACATAGAGGGTATTCCTGGAGATCCTGGCTCTTGTGACTAGAAGGAATTGAACCACTGGACCTCGGAAGAGACTTTCTATATGAGAGCACTCTTTTAGGACTAGGAGAAAAGTTGATATACCTAATGCAGAGTAACAAATACAAGAGTTAGATAAATGAAGGAGACAAAGGAATGGCTTCTAAATGAAAGAAAAAAAAAGACAAAATCTCAGAAAAAAGCTAAACAAGATGGAGATAAACAACTTACTAGATAAAAAGTTCAAAATAATGGTTGTAAACATGCTTACCAAACTACGATGAAGAATGGATAAATTTAGGGAGAACTTCAAAAATGAGACAGAAAATATAAAAAAAGAACCCACCAGAAGTGAAGAATAAAATGACTGATGTTAAAAACACACTAGAGAAAATCAGCAGATTAGAGGATGAAGAAGAACGTTATCAATGATCTGGAAGACAGGATGGTGAAAATCACTCAAAAAGAGAGTAAAGAGAAAAAAAGAATTTAAAAATGAAGAAAGTTTAAGGATCCTATGCAACATTAAGTATACTAACATTCACATTACAGGGGGGCTGCAGAAGAAAACAGACAGAAAAGAACAGAAAAACCATCTGAAGAAATAATGACTGAAAGTTCCCTAACATGCAGAAGGAAACAAATATCCAGGTGCAGGGAGCACTAAGTCCCAAATAAGATGAATGCAAAGAGATCCAAACTAAGACATATGATGACTACATGGCAAAGATAAAGAAATTAAAAAAAAAAAAATCACATACAAAGGTTAATATGCTATAAGGCT